GTGTCGCCTGAGGAGCTTGGGAGAAAGGGACAGAGAGGAGGAGGCTGGAAAGGGGGCCTGTGCTGCTTGGTGGAGAGGGGGAGAAAAAAGTGGGGAGAAGGAAAGCCTTCCAAGCCTCCGCGGGAGGAGAGCGATCCCTGCAGAGGCTTAGGATGGAAGCTGCGCCCCGCCAACCATATGGCTGGCTGGCGTGCAGCTTCCCTCCCAAGCCTCTGCCGGGATCGCTCTCCTCCGAGGAAGCTGAGATTCAGAATTTTTTTTTCTTGTTTTCCTCCTCTAAAAACTAGGTGTGTCTTATGGAGCGAAAAATACGGTAACAAGAAATCAAAGAAACAGACTTATTTTGTGTTGTCGTTTTTAAGTTGGATTCTTCTGCACATTGGGAAATCTGCCCCACCTTGTTCTTGTTCATATCAGACTAGTTAGCTAAGCCTCCTACACTAAGCTCCTAGCACTGAGCTTTGCCAACAAACAACAGCTGCTGGGTCCAGAGCAGTGCCAGCTGTTCCTCCCTGACCCTTTGTATCACTCTCTTATCTCATATCACTGGCATAAAAAATTATGCCACTTCAGGGGGCATCAGTGAATTTGGGTGAAAGAGGGCAGGTAAATTGATCCTCCAAAAATAGCTACAACAGCAATCTGTGAATATATTTCCTCAAGCTTTCGAAAAAGAGAAATTTAAAAACCTATAGAGGATACATAAGACCTGTTATGAGATGCATTAGCAGAACTTAAATGCATACAGTGGTACCTCGGGTTAAGTACTTAATTCGTTCTGGAGGTCCATTCTTAACCTGAAACTGTTCTTAACCTGAAGCACCACTTTAGCTAATGGGGTCTCCTGCCGCCGCCGCGCCACCAGAGCACGATTTCTGTTCTTATCCTGAAGCAAAGTTCTTAACCTGAAGCACTATTACTGGGTTAGCCGAGTCTGTAACCTGAAGCGTATGTAACCTGAAGTGTATGTAACCCGAGGTACCACTATATCCATAATTTAACAAAAATCTGCTTTTTAGTTACCAGTCAGAATCTTGATAGATTCACTTTAAAAAAAAAACACAAAAAACCCCTAGACTCTTAAGGAATATACCTGAGTAGTATACTTGATTTCAGACAGAAGTCATTCCCAGGAATGCCATATGTTGGGGATCTGAGACCTTTTGCATGCAAAACAGATGCTCTACTTATAGAGCTATGACCCTGCCCCCTAGGGTTCCCTCTCCTTAAAATGGCACTAGCTGGGTAAGAGCAATAATGCTGCTAACACCATTTTTAGAGATAAAATCCTATTATCAAAAATAAGTCAAAATAAGTCAGTTTGGAGAGTTGCTCCTGCATGAAATAAATAGTTGATTAATTCCCGGGCATAATTTGTAGCCATACAAAATATAATATTGGAGTGAAAAGGGTAAAACTGTGATCAAAACTTCAATTTTGCAAGGCTGCTTGGAAAGGGCTAATAAATATAATCTGATCCAAAAGTTCTTAAAGCGTTACAAAATTTGTTTGGTACCTATTAATATTCCAGTTTTATCCACTTTACTGCAGCCTTCCTCAACTTGAGTCCACCAGATGTTTTGGACTACAAATCCTAACCAGCCCCAGACAGCATGACCAATGGCTAGAAAAAATGGAAGCTGTGGTCCAAAACATCTGGAAGACACAATTTTGGAGACAGCTGCTCCAATATATTAGTACAGTAGAGTGTACTATTTGCATATCTATGTCTAAATCAAGGGTGATAAACCTACCTGCTCTATAAAGGAGGACCGCATTCCCTCTCAGACAACTGTTGAGGGACTGCATAATGGCAGTGGGTAAGGCCAAAGCATGCACACATATGCAAAGCTCATTCCTACATGCAGATTATTAATATAGCTAGACTCCAGATGTATGTTAATACTGTTTAGGTGTAAGCAAATGCCTATTTGAAAGACCACAAAAACATAAAGCGGCATAATTGTTTCTGGGGGGTAACACTTGCAGGTATAATTGTATCTACATCTAATGACTTCCAATTATAATAATTAGATGAAAGATTAAATGAAGGTCTGGTAACAGAACTGCTTGTTGCAAATGATGTCAGTTTTATGTACAGTGGTACCTCGGGTTACATATGCTTCAGGTTACAAACTCCACTAACCCAGAAATAGTACCTCAGGTTAAGAACTTTGCTTCAGGATGAGAATAGAAATCGTGCAGTGGTGGTGCGGCGTCAGTGGGAGGCCCCATTAGCTAAAGTGGTGCTTCAGGTTAAGAACAGTTTCAGGTTAAGAACGGACCTCCAGAACAAATTAAGTTCTTAACCCGAGGTACCACTGTATTTCCATTTATTTCTCTGTTGTGGAGGTGAATGACCTTCCACTGTAGCAGAAGGCTACTTTCTTGGACTTCCTAGGCCTAGAACCTTGCTTTGTAAACTATGCAATTAGTATAAAGCCTTAATCTCATGAGGGATAAGAACTGAAGACAAACGTTTATGTCTTTCTCTTTCTTTCTTTCTTTCTTTCTTTCTTTCTTTCTTTGCTGCTGTGCACTGGTTGGGGATTGTTTCATTTGTGGCCTATGGATGTCCATGCAAATATACACAACTGCTACATAATAGCAATCTTACATGAAGGGAAAAAAATCACCCCCTAGAAATTCTGTGATGCTATGCGATTTAAAAAACCTAAAACTAAAACTGGAAGGAAACCTAGGCGAGAACTTGCTCTGAATGGACTGCACTTTACACACCAATTTCCTAGTTCTTGTATGTGATTTCAATCCATAGTCTTATTTTTCCTGAGAAATATAGCTTCAGATATGGCACTATATCAAATAATGAATGAAAAAAGCTATCCAGCTATTGCTTAAGCCTTTGGAACATTCAGTATATTTTTACAAAGTAGCTCCCTCCTCCATGCAAAATCTTCCTATTCTCTATCTGTTAGGTCAGTCTGCCAGTCTAATGAATATCTTAAAGGTGTGACTTTCCTATGTTGGGTGTGTCTGTGTGTGTGTTTGTCATTGCATTTAACTTTTTTATCTGCTACAGCCACCAAGACGTGCACTGATGTTTACTTGACACTTATTCAGAAACTGTAGTTATTTTAATGTTGCTCATGCACAGTGCCTCAGGGCACTTGCTCCACAGACGTTTTAAAAAAGTGAATTCAATTGGTCACAAGGCTTAATTGTTGGGTAACTGTAAAATGTTTTCTGGCCTTGGGCCACTATTTGAGCAGCCCAAACACACTGTAGGACAGAGATAACTTAATGCTTTAAGTATTCATAATAACAAAATATGCCTAGCTGCTCATTTGTACTGTTACGGTAAAATCTGGGTGCGGGGTTACTCTGCCACCCAGCTCGTCGGACTGAGTCCGCGGGTCCCTGCGGGAGAAAATGAGCTCAGCCGGAGACGGGAGCAAGTTCCAGGAAATCCAAGTTTATTGCGCAACAGGTTCAAGATGAAATTGAACCCCGAGTAAGGGGTGACAGGAGTTTTGAAACTTCCCTCCATGTCCCATAATACAGTGCGAAACGCGTCATGAATACATTACAAAGAGGTTGGGTTACATGGGTGATATCACAGAGAGGTTGGGTTACACGGATTAGCATAGAGGACAGGGAGGAGGGAATATGCAGAGCTGAAGATATGCATAGATAAGCACTTCCTGAGTACCGGTGATGAGAAGACAATGGTCCGAATATGTAAAGTCTGCCACCTGGTATTGCCCGGAGGAAGGGCTGGGCGAGGTGATCTGACCAGATTAAGGTCTTCCTGAGTACGTGACTCCTCGCTCGAGGGATTATGGAGTCCTGGAAAGGCTGAGTCGATTGACACCAGAACCAAGGAAATCGGAGAAGGGGTTGATTTTATATGAATTTAAGAAGTTTTCAGTCTATTTCGTCCATTCTTACAATAATAATAGAAAACGGAAACAAACTAGATACATTTGACAGTTTTACGAGCTAAACTGGATACATTGTAACAGGGTTTGACAGTTTTACGAGGTTACGAGTTTCGATTCCATTGTTCTCTCAGCGGGGAGCTGTCAGCAGCTTGTCAAGAGGTTAAATGAGGCGTGCAGAGGCTCGCTGAGCTGGTTCTGCAGAGCAGATGCACGTATCTGATTGGTCAATACGCGGCCATTGGAACAAACGGGGATGTATTTTGACACGGTCGACTCATAATAAAGATGGAGCGAGAGAAGGGATAGGGGCTTGGGAGTTTTGGGCTTATTTCGCCCGTGGAAAAGGGGAAAAGGGTTGTGTGTGGTGCTTGTGCGACAGTGAAGAGGCTGGGGAAGGGGTGCAGAGTGTAGTGGGCGCTCTTGAGGTCATCGTTTCGGACGTGGGAGGGTGGACCCCCGTTTACCGTATCAGTCCCCCATTCGGAGATAGATTTGCGTCAAAGTTCTGCAAGAACTTGCAAATCCTTTCTCCGCACCTAGATCTGAGTGATCTCGTATTCCCCTTCCCCTAAATGCCTCATCTGTACATATTCTGGGAAAGTAGGGGTACGCTGTGAGCGGGAATACGCTCGGAGTGAGAGAGAGGTAGCTTGAGTCGGGCAGCGAAGAAGGGAACAGCAGGGAGGAATACAATGTATGGCACAACAGAGGGTCAGGACACAAAGGATAACAATTAAAACAGTAGAAATTACGACTTTCAGTAACTGTCGGAGCCATCCTAACTTGGGTAACCATCCCCACAAGTCTACATCGGACAGCCCTTCATGTTGTATATCTTGTAGCTTTCCTGCTAGTTCATGGATATTATTTAAATGTCCAGTTATATTGAGGGATTGATCGGTTACATATGTACAACACTCAGCTCCTATTAGGGCGCATGTCCCTCCTTGACTAGACAGCAGGAAGTCGGTTGCAATCCTGGTCTGTAGACTGAGTTGTCTTACCTCGGATAGTTCGGACACCAAGGAGTCGGTAATCTGAGTGGCTTCTTGCATAAATTTGAGGAGAATGTCTGTAAGGCGAAGAATGTCTACATGGTTAGATCCGGCTCCATAGGCGGGAAAGAGGGCACGGCCTACGGTTTCTCCATTTGCAGCAACGTCTGAGAGGTCTGACAGCTGTTTTGGTCCCTTTTATTCCTCTGTCTTCCGGGGGCAGGTGTGGGACAACTCTAATTCCGGGGACGATGTACCCCACAAAACAGGAGCCCGACATGTGTGGGCTCACCCAAGTATATGCGCGGTGTCCGCAAATCCAGAATAAGCCACTGAGGTAAGATTCCATCCTTCCTGAAGCAAAAGTCTGTAACAGCATAAAGTCTGTGAGTTGTGGTTGCCAGGTGGGGGGTTGGCTGACAGCAGTAGCCCATGCAATGGTGAGATTGGGGAAGGTCTGGGAACCACGTGGGTCAGTGATGGTGACTTGGCCATCGGCTAGGATTTCTAAGTCAGTATTGCAGGTACTGGATCCGATGAAGGTTCCCTCTCCAGTGAAACTGCGGCAAAGGGGTCCTTTCGTGGGGCCGGTGAGGTACAGATATTGGTGTGTTAGATTTAATGCAGTTAGGTTCCAGGAGACGACATCTCCGGAGCGAAATTGTTCTAAGGTCACTGGCACCGGGACCAGGGGTAGACTCTGTTGAAGGTGGCTGGGAGCATGAGCGCAAATCCAGCAATCGGGGTATGGTGCTTCTTTAGCGACCTGGCTGAGAAGTTTGATGTAGGAGTTCTGTTCCCAGGAGGAAAGAAGGTCTTCTCCTGGGAGGGCAGGTGCAGGGCCTAGTCGTCGAGGTGCAGTGCCAAATGGGTGGAGTGGGTCAGAGGTATTTAGGAGCCGCCTATCCCGGGCAATGCCGCCGCACCTCAGAGGCCCAACGTTGTCCCATGAAGGAGAGCGTGAGGGGTGTATGGGATGGTGCCACCCTTCTAGGTAGTCGGCTCCCTTCCAATCACGGGTGACTCCCAAGTTCCAAAGGCAGCAGAATCGTCTGAGGCAAAGTCCTTGGAGTTGGGGCTTGTGGGGTTTTGGGGTCGTGAGGAGGCACTGGAACCCAAAGATCAAGTTCTCGGAGGGGTGATTGGGGTCTGTGTATACGTGGGAGGCCGTTCCCAGTTCGGCCTCGGTCCAGTTAGGGCTGCGTGTGACTTCTCCGTTGTTATAGAGTAGGTAAGTTCCATTATAACATTTCAGCCGGTAAAAGGAGTGATCAAGTGTGAGGGCAGCTGACCCGATGCGACGTAAGTCCTTATCTCGGATGAAGAGTTCCCAGTATGCGCTGTCGGTGAGCCGGGGTACCAGGGAATGACGCAGTAGAGTTCGAGATTCTGGAAGGCAGAACTCAAAGTCCCCCATTCGGTCCGGGTTGGACTTCCCTCCCGTTTCGACCTTGTGATAGTCGAGGAAATGGTAGTCTGTTTGTAGTCCAGTGCAGTGGCTCAACGAGGAAGGTGTTGTCGCAGTCAGGGTGACAAGGAGGATGAGAGCAGTGGTGGGGTTCATGACTCCTGGCGGGGGGTAGTTGAAGCTGCGGATCGAGTTGTCAGACGCAGGCGAGAGTAGTCTGTGGAGCCGTCAAACGAGCTGTCAAACGAGCTGACAAAAGCGAAGCAATAGCAGTCTATGGAGCTGTCAAACGAGCTGTCAAACGAGCTGTCAAAGGCAAGTAATAGCAGTCTATGGAGCTGTCAAACGAGCTGTCAAACGAGCTGTCAAAGGCAAGTAATAGCAGTCTATGGAGCTGTCAAGCGAGCTGTCAAACGAGCTGTCAAAGGCAAGTAATAGCAGTCTATGGAGCTGTCAAACGAGCTGTCAAACGAGCTGTCAAAGGCAAGTAATAGCAGTCTATGGAGCTGTCAAGCGAGCTGTCAAACGAGCTGTCAAAGGCAAGTAATAGCAGTCTATGGAGCTGTCAAGCGAGCTGTCAGACGAGCTGTCAAAGGCACTTAAGGCGAAGTTTGATGGCGTTGGAGTCTGGGACGATCTCGGACGTCCAGTTAGGTGCTGTAACGTCCGGTCTGGCGTGTTGGGTCGGAACTTGGCTCTGATCAGGTCCGGTCTGTTGGGCCCGAACTTGGCCTCGGTCAGGTCCGGTCTGTTGAGCCCGATCTTGGCCCCGATCCGGTCCGGTCTGTTCCTCGTCGTCGTCGATGTAGGTAGCTGGCGAGTGGGGTGGGGTCTCGTAGGCGTAGTCCTCCTCGGGGTTTTCTAGCGTCTCTTGGGGTGGTGGGGATGTTTTGCACCTCGTGTGATGTAGCCACGCGTTTTTCTCTCCCACTTTCACGGCAGTCGGGGAGGTCAGTAGTACTTGGTAAGGACCTTCCCACGCAGGTTGGAGCGGCGCCTTCTGATAGACCTTAACGAGGATCCAGTCGCCGGGATGGAAAGAGTGGGCATGGACGTCAATAGGCAGGTTTTGTCCCTCGATAGCCGCGTACTGGTGGAGGCGTAGTAGCTGTGTCTGAAGCTGAATAATATAGTTAGTGAGTTCCGCCTCCCCCACGTCCAGTTCTGAGAGAGGAAACAAGGTGTTGTATACGGGAGGGGGTCTCCCGAATAGAAGTTCGAATGGGGAAAGTTTCAAAGGTCCTGTTGGGGCACTTCGTATATTATGAAGGACCAGTGGGAGTGCATTTACCCATTTCAGCCCCGAGAGTCTACAGAGTTTTCCCAGTTGCATTTTTATCTCCTGGTTCATACGTTCTACTTGACCAGAGGACTGTGGGTGGTACGGTGTATGAAGGTCCCACTTTATTTGGAGGGCTTTGGCCACCAATTGTACCACTTCTGCAGTGAAGTGAGTTCCCCTGTCACTGTCTAGGCGGCGGGGTATCCCATATCGAGGAATGATGTCTTGAAGGAGGGCCCTAGCGACTACCGATGCGGTGGCCTTTCGACAGGGGAATCCCTCCACCCAAGAGGAAAATTGATCTATTATAATCAGGGCATGCTTGAAGCCTTGGCATTGGGGTAAGTCGATAAAGTCTAGCTGTAAACTCTCAAAGGGGACAAAGGCCCACGGTCTAGCTCCTGGTGGTTTCCTTTTGGGCTCACGTTTGGGGTTGAAGTGATGGCAGGTAATGCAGTTCTTGGAGGCTGCCGTAGCTGCGGTGGCTATCCCTGGGGCGTACCAGGACCTCGTAACGTGGTCTATTAATCTCCATTTTCCCCAGTGAGTCTGTTGGTGGAGGATTCTCACTAATTTTGGAACCCAGGCTCTTGGAAGGACTGTCCTGCCATCGGGGAGGGTCCAAATACCATTCTGTTCAGTTGCGCCCACGGATTCCCATTTTGATTTTTCCTCCTCTGGGGCTGAATCATATATTTGTGTTGCGTCTATGTCTGTAGGTAATTGTAAGGCTTGAAATTCGGACTCATTATTTGGGGGGCGAAGGGCAGCAATTTGGGCAGCTTTATCAGCCCGTCTGTTTCCCTTTGAGACCGGGTCCCTCCCTTTGGTGTGTGCTTTACAGTGGACTACTGCTATTGCACTCGGTAAGTGAATGGCTGTAAGAAGTCTCTCTACTAGGGCGGCGTGTGAAATTTGGGAGCCGGCTGCAGTTAAGAAGCCCCTTTGAAGCCAAATTTGACCGGTTGTGTGTACGAGCCCGAAGCAGTATTTACTGTCCGTGTAAATGGTGGTTCTCTTCCCTTCGCCAAGTTCACAAGCACGTATGAGTGCAATTAATTCAGCGGCTTGGGCGCTATACTGTGGGTTAATTGGGTTGGATTCCAGGACTTCAAAGTCAGAGACGACTGCGTACCCTGTCTTCCTTTCCCCTTCGATGACCTTTGAGCTGCCATCAGTGTACAGTATGAGGTCGGGGTTTTCTAAGGGAAGGTGGTCTAGATCCTCCCGCGGTTTCTCGGCTTGGCGGACTATGGTAGCGCAGTCGTGGTGTGGGGTGCCATCATCAGGAAGGGGTAATAGGGTAGCTGGATTCAGGGAATTGACGCGTTTGATGGTGACGTTAGATGGGGTTAATAGAAGGGCTTCGTATCGGTTTAGGCGAGAGTTTGAGAAGTGATGACAACCTCTCAAGGTTAAGAGGGTGGAGACCGAGTGGGGAACATGGATGGTAATTTCATGTCCCAAGACTGTTTCCTGGGCTTTCTCAAGGAGGATCGCAGCGGCGGCAATAGCTCTTAAACAACTCACTGCTCCCTTTGCGGTGTTGTCTAGTTGTAGACTGTAATAGGCTACTGGTCTTTCCTGATCTCGGAAGGGTTGGGTTAGGACCCCTGAGGCGACTCCCATTTGTTCATGGATGAACAGGTTAAAAGGAGTCCGGTAGTCTGGCAGTCCTAAAGCAGGAGCGGACCTTAATTCTCTTTTTAAGCGTTCGAAGGATTTATAAGCTTCCTCTTCCCAGACCAGGGTATCTGGGTGGTCTTGGCGGGTCATAGCGGTTAAAGGCTTCGTTATTTCGCTATAGCCGGCAATCCATGCTCGGCAGAAGCCTGCCATACCAAGGAAGCCGCGTAATTGCCGCTTAGTCTTAGGGAGGGAATTCTGGTAACGGCCTCGATTCTGTCGGTGGCTAGGCTTCGGGTACCCACTCCTAGGATGTGCCCGAGGTATTTTACTTCCTGTTTACAATATTGTAACTTCTTAGGGGACACCTTGTGTCCTTTCCGGGCTAGTTCTGAGAGGAGATATTTAGTGTCTAATTTGCATGCCTCTTCACTAGTAGAGCACAATAAAATATCATCTACGTAGAGAAGGAGGGCGGAGTTAGCAGGCAGGCACACGTCCTGTAGGTCCTGGTGTAATATGGCGGAAAAGATCGCGGGTGATTCTACGTAGCCTTGGGGCAGCCTTGTCCAAGTTAGCTGGCTGGGTCCCCAGGTAAATGCAAAAAGGAATTGGCTGGCGGGGTCCAAGGGTATACTGAAGAAGGCGGAGCATAGATCCGCTGCAGAGTACCAGGTTGTTCCCGCCGGGATGGCATTTAAGAGGGAGTTAGGGTTGCCCACGACTGGGTGGCGGGGTATTACGAATTGGTTTACCAGTCTCAGGTCTTGGACAAAACGGTACCGGACTGGGGCTCCTTCTGTGGAGGGTTTCTTTATGGGGAGCACTGGGGTGTTACAAGGTGACGCACAGGGAACAAGGATCCCTTTGCTGAGGAAATCTTCTATCATAGGTGTCAGTCCGTCGATTGCTTCTTTGGGTAGAGGGTATTGCTTGGTGCAAGGGAAGGGCCGATCAGTTCTATAGGTAATCCTTACCGGGGTGGCAGATAATAGCAATCCTACAGAAGCTGATTCCGTGCCCCACAGTGAAGGAGGTAATTCATTCTCTAGTTCTGGGGGAAGTTCGGGAAACTGGCGATCTAACTTTTCCTCTAATACCATGCCTTGAAAGGCAGGGACAGAGTCTTCGGGCATGTACAGGTAGATGCCATCTTCAGAACATTTTATGGTGGCATTGAGTTTGCAGAGTAGGTCTCTGCCAAGGAGATTCACTGGGCTGCTCGTTAGGAGGAAGGTGTGTTCCGCCAATAAGGGTCCGAGGGTGACTTTGGCCGGTTGTGAGAGAGGGCAAGTGCGGGGTATCCCGTCCAGTCCCATAACTTTCTTGGTTTCTGACCCGGGTTCTAGGTGGCTGCTAGTCAGGGTCGAGTACGTAGCTCCCGTATCTAATAAACATCGATAGGGGTGGCCATCGATCTCAATCGTGCAGATAGGGTCATCTGGCGATAATGCTAGGACAGGGTAGATGGCTTGGGCCGGACTGAGATTCCCCTTTGATTGTCAGTATGTGTCTTGATCTTCAGGAGGTGGCTGGTTGGGGGGGGTGTAAGGGAGGAGCGGTGGCATTTGCCCAAGAATGAGTGGCTGGAGTCATAGCGGGCATTTGAACCTGTGTGCCCGGTTGAGGTCGGTGGTTTGGAGGTGCTTGCATAGTGGGTTGTTGGTTGCCATATCCCTGGGTTATGTTGGAATGTGGGCGCATCGGGAAAGGAGGATAATTGGTCTGAGCCGGAAAGGGTTTAGAGCCTTGTACTCCATAGGTTGTGGTGTTTAGGTAGGGGCAAAACCTCTTTATGTGTCCCTCTTCTTGGCAGTAATAGCATCCTCCGGTGTTGGGTCCCCATGGTCTGTGGGGAGCGGGGGGTCCTCCTCCCCGGCCCCCTCTTCCTCGGTTAAAACTTCTGCCCCGGCTGGAGTTAGGCTCCATGCTCAGCGCTAAGATGTGTTCAGTCTCAGGTTTTGCTTCCTTTCGTTTCCTTTCATCCCGAGAGTTATAAACTGATTTGGCGATGGATAAGATTTCGCTAACGCTCTTCCCATCATATCCTATTTGGAGATTCAGGGCTTTTCTTATATCTGGGCTGGCCTGGTCTTTGAAGAAACCCTTAACGATTACTTCATGTTGGGGGTTCTCCGGGTCTATCCCTCCCCAGGTCTTGATGGCGGAGACCAATCTAGTGTAATAATCCGATGGATGTTCATTTGGTCCCTGTAGTACAGTTTGGACCTTGGTCCAGTTGACAGTA